TGCCTCGCCAGTAAGAAACTCCTTTAGTGACGCCTATGGATGTCGTGAAAATTCGCCTGCAACAGCAACATCATCCCTTTCCAAAAGGACAATGTTTCTATTTCTATAACGGCTTGATGGAACATGTGTGCACTGCATGTGAGCATCGTCAACCATGTGTGTGGTACCAACGGCCGGGCAATTTCTCTGGGACAATTGTGAGTGGTATTAAGCTGCTTTTACTTTTCTTATTGTTCATTGATTACATCTAGTTAAGGATGCATTTGTAAAAATAACGCGAGAGGAAGGCATAAAATCATTATGGAGTGGCTTATCACCTACATTGTGAGTTGAAATGCTCTTCAGTTGTTTTGTTGTTGTCTCATTCCAGAATGTTGATGTTTTACTTTTTTAGAGTCATGGCTATACCTGCTACCGTCTTCTACTATTCTTTATATGACACTTTATATTCTAAGTTCATGCAGAGGTGTGTAGCGTCTGAGTTTGCATTTTTTTCTTATTATTTTCACTTATTTTTTAACTTCTGTACCTTAAGGCTGTACCGTCGGCGCACATTGACGCCAGAATTATGGTGCCCACCCGAGTGGACAGCAGCTACACTTGCCGGTGCTACCGCGCGCACGTCAGCAGCCACCATTGTTAGTCCGCTGGAGATGATTCGAACAAAAATGCAAAGCGAACAGTTGACTTATCGAGGTGTGTCAAAATTTGGTGATTTTTGGTGGCTGTTTCAATTTTTCGATTGTTAGATATTGGACGAGCTTTGAGAGTGACCGTAGCAAAGAATGGCATACGAGGTTTTTACCTAGGTTGGATGCCCACACTTTTGAGGGACATCCCATTTTCAGGTAAGTGTTATTGTATCTTGTTTTCCATTCAATGCATCCACATTTTCAGCTATTTACTGGGCTTTCTACCAATATTTCAAACGAAATTTGCTAGAATGGAGAAATATGGAACGAACGACGTTTGCAACCGCATTCGCATGTGGAGCTACTTCAGGAACGATAGCTGCCATTATAACGACTCCGTTTGATGTGGTAAGGCATGACCACATATCGTATTTTATCTTTATTTTTTTCAGATTTATCGTCATGTTCTATTTTTAGTATCTCTGTAAATGTGCATCTGAGTCCATTGCTTTGTTACCACTTTATTTTCTAGATGAAAACGCATCTTCAAATAAAATTAGGACAAGAGAATGCTGTATGGCGAGTGCCTACAAAGAAAATCATCAATGAAATCATGGAGAATGGCGGTGGTGTCAGGGCGCTTTTTGCAGGTTTTGCTGGAATTTTATTTTTCTATTTTTTTATTAGCAAATTTGAAATTGTAGGAGTTGTGCCACGAGTAGTAAAAATTGCTCCATCCTGTGCCGTGATGATAGGATCATACGAGTATTTTAAAGGATATTTTGCACGACGGAATCAGCGACATTCTTTGTCACAATAGCCCATACTTTAGATTGTAGTTTTCGTTAGTGTGAGAGACGTATATAGCATAGAATAGAATTTGATTTAGATTTTTGGTAAAGAGATTTGCGCTTGTGCATACTTTACTCCTCATTCTCACCTCATATATTCATCTAGATGCTTCTATTTTTCATGAGAGTATATATGTTAGTCTGACTTTGACTTTACATTTGATCCTGATTTGTACTTGACTCCTTTAGAGCTACCTGTTGATAATGAGAGTAGTATAATTGTTTGTTGTTGTGAAAATTATATTGTTGATTAGTGTAAATGTGCAAACCAGATGTGTTCGAAGTGTTTATTAGTAATTTCACAATTACCGATTTTTGACATTGTCTGCTTTTTTCTGGCTGAGTTTGAATGATTTGTAGATGTCAACCTTCTCGAGTATTAGCAAGAAGTTAGCTAGTCAACGGCCACATAGGGAGCGATCTCAGGTTGGTGTAATGCTTGATAGCGACATTTTTTTCGATTTTTTGACCATTTCTACCGTTTTCCAGACAAAGCTGCACTGTGATTTATGATAGCCATGATTTTTGTACGAATTGCATGCACTGTTTATCCCATTTCACCAGCAATAATGACGCAAACTCTATTAAGCAGCGGTAGATATGGTTATGCACTTGATTAACCACCGTTTCTATGCACTATGTTGCTTCACGACGGATCATTTTCTGATTAGTCTAATGAAAATTCACAGTTATCAAAGAACAGAATCTATAGCTCTTTGATCTGAAATACAAAGAGGTCTATGCCAGGATGAACGATAGCCGGAATTGAGCATACTGTACTCGTGCGGTTGTCAGTATGCCACATATAAAGCCTTATTTTTTGAAGCTATCGTCGATTCGTGATACGCAAAGACTGGGCGCCGCTTCCGGCCAAGATAGTTTGTGTATGGGAGAGACCGCAGACGTTAAGAGGAAAGAAAGAGCGCTCGATTAGGGAGACGAAGATACGTACGCAG